AAAGGCATTTATGTCAGATGCAATCGTGATCGTCTGATTTAAAACTGTGACTTTTAGTGCTTAATTTTGTTTTGATGTGATTTTACTGTGATTTAGATTCTACTTACTTTTCATTCATAATTTTACAAATTTTATAAATGTTCCAATAACTTTATACTTTTGTAGAGAGTAAGAATAAATTGTATTGTTATAAACGCTGTGATGCATGACCCAGTATTACCAACTTTAATCAACAAAATGATCCCTTGTGAATTTTGCCTTGGTGCCCTAGCAAATTGCCTGGATGCCCTCTGATTTTTAGGCCACACCGAGGCAATTTTTACCTGCCCTCTTGAACACCTAATTCAAGCCCTGCATCATTATTATTATATTATTATTATTATTATCATCATTATTATTATCATCATTATTATTATATCATTATTATTATTATTATTGTAATACCATTATTATCATGATTATCCCTCACCTCTTTGGTCTGGAAACACACAGCCTCCAGCGCGGCCCTGGCAATATGACGCTTGTCCGTGAACTGGGTCAGGCCACAGATAATTCTAGAAGGACAAAGAGAAGTTGTTGGTTTTTTGGGGTTTTTTAAAATTGTTTATTCATTTGAGTAAAAAGAAACACATTCGCTGGCTCATCATCATCATCATCATCATCATCATCACTATCACCACCACCATGCTCATCATTACACTCATTATCATCATCATCATCATCATTATCATTGTCATCATCAATGTGTTGGGGTTTTTTTGTTTGTTTTTCTTTTTGGGAAGTGTTTTACTGCGTAAGGTAATATAAGCGTGCGGGACACATTGATGGTGATCATGGTGGTGGTGATAGTGATGATGCCGATGATCATGCTGATGCTGATGATGATGATGATGATGATGATGATGATGATGATGATGATGATAGCGACCATGATGATGATGAAGACGATGATGATGACGATAATAATTATAATAAAATAATGAAATTCATAAGAACAATACAGTAAAATTAATATAGTGATCAATAATAACAATAACAGTTAAGATAACTAATGCTAATTACTATAATAATAATAATGATTAAGTAACAACAACAACAATAACAACAACAATAAATAATGATGATGATGATAATATTACTTCCACCACTACTGCTACTACTACTACTACTTATAATAATAATAATAAACAGATAAAACAATAAAGTTAATCAAATCAGCCGTTCAGATGAAGTGCAGAACTCACCCGCGGGCATCCGATTGCCAGTAAGGACAAAACAGGCCTGAGAAAGCTGGCACAAAGTAGCAGCCATGCGTTGAGTCCACCTCGAGAGCCAATTTCTCTGCAAACAGAAGGCAAAAGAGGGAAAGGTAGACCAAGCAAGAATAACGTTTCGTGTGTTTGCTTCAGTAAAGAGAAGCAGAACCAGGGCTATTCCACGGTAACAGACAGGACGTTTGGACCTGACTTTCTTACAATGATAACTCTGTAATTCAATATCAATTAAATTTCAACTTTAAATTATCCGAACGTTTCAAAGACATATTAAGATTCATTTTAAATGCAGTCATTTGAAAAATCAGAAGAGTTTTATGCAAATTCTGCGACGTTTTTTTCAAGTTTCAGTAACTGACGGGGACAAAAGAGGGGGTTTTTTTCAGTCCTGTCAGTTGCCCTGGAATAGCCATCAACATAACGACTCTCACTCAGTGTTGAGAAGAAGCAAAGGTCAGACAAAAGCAGGAGAGAGTTTCACAAAGAGTTTTACAGCACTTCCAGCACAATTAGGTCATATGTGAGGCAGCGTGGTGGAATCAGGCTCTCGTCAATTTTTGGGCATGTAGAGTTATTTGTATCATCTTAAAGTTTGTTCATTTGTCTTTATTTGGGTGAAAAAAAATATCCATTTATCTTGAATACAAGTCGAGATATTTGCGAATGAAGGGGGTTGGGGTCACCTGTTTTCAGAGATAAGATTAGTGAGAAAATGGCCGCCAAAGATTAGTTATTTCCTTAGCTTAAGAGTCCGTGGTAACTGAAAATGTACATTTTTGTGCCTTTAATCAACGTTTTTCAGAAAAATCCACACAGAAATGAGTTCTCTAATGTGCATGAAAGGTGTTAAGCAAAAAAACGAAAATTTGAAAAAAATTCACAAACCTGTGCAAAAATGCAAGTTTCTTCACTTTGAGTATTTTGACGAGAGCCTGATTCCACCACGCTGCCTCACATATAAGCGTTGAAGATTAGAAGTGTTATCAGAGAGTAATATACACAAAATAGAAGAGATAAGGACGATAGATGCTTGATATCATCATGCCATCTCAGGCAAGAAAACCCCCTCCACCGGCAGTGCACTCACAGAAAACAATAAAACCCTAAAAGGAGATAGAAGCAAGGCTGAAGCCTTTTGCTGTGAATACGCCTCAGTCAGCCGCCTAAAACTCGACAAGGCAGACAAACACCGGCACTACCAGCTTAATGAAAAGCTTAAACTCCTCCCTATTGACCAGAACACAGGCTATGATTCTCTCACCATGGCTGAACTGACAGTTTGTATAGGAAAGCTGAAAAACGGCAAATCTCCCGGGCTTGATGGTGTAACCAATGAGATGATCAAACACCTCGGACCCATCGACCCATCGCAAACTCTGCCCTGCTCCGTCTTTTCAACCTATCATGGGAAATGGCCATTGTCCCAAACAGCTGGCGACGTGCCAAAATCATACCAATACCCAAGAAGAATAAGCCTGCAGGAAAGATTGGGTCCTACCGCCCCATCAGTCTCACCAGCTGCCTTGCTAAGCTGATGGAGACCCTCGTCAAGAACCGCCTGATGTACTTTCTGGAGAGTAACAACTTGCTGAGCAACAACCAATCGGGCTTCCGCAAGTTACGGTCTACTGAAGACCAAGTCCTGTGCCTAACACAACATATCTCCGATGGATTCCAGGCTCGTCCCAAAATGAAACGAACTGTGCTGGCCCTCGTGGACTTCTCGCGTGCCTTCGACAAGGTATGGCGCACGAGGTTAATGGAGAAGATGATTGAGAAATCTACTCCCAGCCGCATCACCCAATGGATAGGTTCGTTCCTCAGAGACAGATACGCCTGCGTCGAGCACGGCAACGCAACAAGCAGGCTTCGCCGTTTCAAGCAGGGAGTCCCCCAGGGCAGTGTCCTGTCCCCCACACTGTTCCTTGTCTTCATCGATGATATTGAAGCAGGCCTGCCTGAAACCGGGAAGACGGGACTCTATGCTGATGACTATACAATATACGCCACCAACGAAGACATAAATCAGGCTGAAAACAGTGTCCAAGCAGCCATAAACTTACTTGAGCAGTGGGCAAAGCAAAACAAGATGGAGATCAGTACGGAGAAAACAGAGTGCACCCTCTTCACCACCAGCACCCACGAGGCCAAGCGAAAACCAGCACTCTCACTCAAAGGCGCCCCCATCACCTTCAACTCCAACCCCACCTTACTTGGGGTTACACTTGATCGTACTCTATCCTCCAACGCCCACATCCAAAACCTTGAGTTAAAACTGTCCAGCAGACTTCGACCATTGAAAGCCCTTACAGGCACCACCTGGGGTGCCTCCAGGGAATGCATAAAGCCTATATATTATGCTACTTGTCGGTCAGCTATCAACTATTGTGCCCCTGCCTACATGCCTCTTGCCAAACCCTCCAATCTGCAGAAACTGGAAAGAAAGCAGAATGAAGCAGCAAGAATCATCACAGGCTGCTCAAAGGATACTCGTGTGGACAGCCTCCTCATCGAAGCAGACATTTTACCACTAAGGCATAGAGCTGATGCCTTGACTGCCATCTCATTCGAGAAGTCCATGCGTCTGCCTACAACGAACCAACGCAAAGCCTCCGCAACAAAATCAGTGCCCACGCGGACAGGCAAGTCGAACTGGAGAAAGCATGCCCAGAACCTCGTAGCCGAGACTGAACTGGATACGTACCCACGTGAGGAGCTGGTTGTTTTACCCCCCACACAACCGTGGAAGGCTGCATCATACAACGTGACTTTTAGCACCGATCTTGTCGCCGACTGCAAGCGTGCTAATGAACCAGCTGTCAAGAAAGCAGCAGCAGAGGCTACAATTCATTCGCTCCCCCTGCCCGATGTAGAAGTCTGGACTGACGGTTCAGCTGAGCACGGTACTGAGTATGGAGGAAGTGGAATACTGATCAAGACCGGCGATACCGAACTCGACCAACGTGTACCTGCGGGCCGGTATTGTTCCAGCTACAGGGCCGAGCTTGTAGCTCTCGACACAGCGCTTGACATGCTTGTGGCACTACATACAGCAGGCAGCCTTCCGAACAGTGCACGCATCCATGTATACACTGATTCTAGATCAGCAGTCATGCGCCTCTCATACGGCCCTACCAACCAATCGGAAAAGGTGGCCTGCTCAATCTGGTACCATCTGCACACCCTCTGTCAACGCTCTGAATGTTCCATCCACTTACAGTGGATTCCAGGCCACGCCGGACTGGCTGGGAACGAGGAAGTTGACAGCATCGCCAAAGAAGCAACAGCGATTACCCAGATTGACACGCCAATCGATTTCTCGACAGCTAAAGCCGTCATCCACCGATCGACCCGCGCAAAGTGGAAAAGAGAGGCGAAACCCAAACTGCCGTTTGCCCAGCCGCCGTCATTCCAGCTTGAGGCCTCGCTCAGACGACAGGACCGCCAGCTTCTCTCCCAAATGAGAACTGGTGGAAAATCGCCCAAGCTGAGATCATATGTCCACAAAATTGCGCCAGCAAACAACCCAGATCCGTCCTGTTGAGCCTGCAAGGAGGAGGACGAAACTATGGACCATGTGTTCCTGAGGTGTCCCGCCAGCTATCGTGCTAGAACCCGTCTGCTGGGACATTTCAGTAACCCACTTTCAGCACTTTTTAAGGACCCCCGGGCGAGTGTTGAGTTCCTGCGTGCTGTCGGCATCGCTGACCGCTTATGAAGCCACAGCGCCAGAAGAGAGAGAGAGAGAGAGATGCTTGATAGGAAAGAAGGACCAAACCACACAATAGCACCCTGCCAACCATCCACAGTGAAAGAAAAGATTTTAAAAAACAAACCACACATCAATCTCCAATAAGGAGGATATCAAGATTGAAAGCGCACAGCTACCTGTAAGGCTGCCAGACTCATAACCGTAAGGTCATGGGTTCGAATCCCATCATGGGTCCAACATTGTGTCCTTGGGAAAGGCATTTTATACATATTTTCCTCACTTCACCCAGATGGGAATGGTTACGCAGCTTTTGACAGCAAAAGATCTTGTCACTTTGTTAGTGTTTGAGTGCTTAATCAGCTGCTCGCACTGTATGCTTCCCGGGAAGCTGAGAATGTTTTTGAGTGTTCTTGGGTCTGCTGAGGTAATAATATAGTGTAAAGCGCATCAAGCTTGCAGTCAAGCCCGGGTATGCACTACACAAATGCTATTTATTATTATCATTTTTATTACTCACCAATGTCAGAGGAGGAGGATATGACGCCCATTTTATCTCTGAGCCACTGCACACAGGCACCAGCGATGGCGATTGCTCCCTGGGGAACACGCAGACCAAGGGTCAGAGGTCACCATTGCGTAGGGCGAGTGGTCATAGGGTGAAAGATCATGGAGTGAGAGATCACGGGATGAGAAGTCATTATCTTGTGGGGTGATAGATCATCATCGTGTGGGGGGTAAAAGGTCATGGAGTAAGAGGTCATTGTCATGTGGGTGAGAGGTCAAGGGAAGAAAGAAGTTATCATCTTGTGGAGGGTGAGATGTCATGGGGTGAGAGGTCTTGGTAAAAGAAGTTATTGTCCTGTGTGGGGAGAGAGGTCACGGGGTGAAAGGTCATGAGGTGAGAGGTTATGGAGTGAGAGGTTATTGTCTTGTAGGGGGTGAGAGATCATAGGGTGAGAGGTCTTGGTATGAGAGGTTATTATCTTGTGGGGGTGAGAGGTCATCATTGCGTAGAGTAACAGGTCATGGGGTGAAAAGTTATTGTCTTGTGTGAGGTGAGAGGTCATTATCATGTTGGGGTAAAAGGTCATGAGGTAATAGGTCATAGGGGGAGAGGTTATCGTCTGGGGAGGGGGGGTCAGAGGTCATGAGGTGAGAAATCATTGTTGTGTGGAATGAGAGGTCATTATCATGTAGGGGTAAAAGGTCATGGGGTGAGAGGTCATCGTCATGTGGGTGAGAGGTCATAGGGGGTAAGAAGTCATGAGTTAAGAAGGAGTGAGAGGTCAAGGGGTGAGAGGTCATGAAACGGTAGGGCGAGGTAGTGGCCATAATAGTTTCTACTCCACTGACCTCCAGGGCATATTGTTATCATTAGTAATAGTAGTAGTAAAGGTAAGTATTATTAACATTACATTATTATAATTATGATCAGCATATTATTATTAATATTGCTATCAGTAACTTCATGAGTATAATCATCATCATAATGACTCTTTTAAAAATATCATCTTTTTCCCCTTCCTTCGTATCATTTGTTATCATAATCATTATTATTATTATTACAATGTTGTTATTAAATTATTATTTTTACTTACAACAATAATTATAACAGGGCTGCCTACCTCAAAGTTCCTATTTCAGGTAGATTCAGGGTCAGTTTCAGGTATTTTGGCCCAAAATCAGGTAGTACAAAGACAAACAAGGAAAAAAAAAGCTGATCGTTGCCCCATCGAACACGCTTGCTTTCCGTGATATTGGGTAATCATTTTGAAAACTTGTTCGTGCATGCACATGTGTGTATGTCTGTGTGTGCACGTGTGCATGCTCTTGCGTGTGTTTATAAATGTGGGGAGGGGAAGGGGGTGTTTGGGTGAGCACAAGTTATGATGAACAGTATGTTCATTTATGGACTATCGTTCAAGGCACCTATCATTCAGTATTGAATCTGGAATTGAGTGCAGGGTGATAGCCAAACTGACTTCAAAACCCCTAGCCCATACCAATAGAAACTATATTAAAACATATTTCCCGACACTTGCATATGACACTGATATGTCCTTTGTAACTTAGGTATCCAACATAGAGTTTTCTGAGGGTTGAAAATGGCATTTCCTCATTGCCACTATTCAATAGTGAAACACACTCTCGGACTGGGGATAGCTGAACGTTATATCACAAACACGACCGGTAAAATATGAACTCAGTCGCCTTTCAGATTTAGTTTCGAGGACTTTGTGCATTTTCTCGGGTCTCAGCGATTTTTTTTTCCAGATTCGAGGGTAATAATTCCCGCAGTCCCCTTGCGTAGAATCTTCATTTGGTACTGTGACCAATTCTCTAGACCAAGACAGATTTGAGAATGTTTTGCTTCGATACCGATTTTCTTTCTACATTCACAATTTTGTTTCCTAGATAAATGAATTAAAAGCACAGATTTTCCAGCCGCAGCAAAAACCCAAAGGTAGACAGAAAGAAAGAATGAATGAAAAGAAGGAAGAAGATTATCTATTGTGAGTAGACAGATTTTAGCCGATATGCACGTGAAAAACTATTGCCAACCGAACGGCACAGATAGACAATGGTCGAGTGTACGAAATGAGCAATCTGGCAGTTGCTAATACAACTTATTGCCGAGAGTTGCCGTAAATATTTGACAAGTTAAGGAGGCAAGTACTGACCCCTCCCTCTTTCTAACGCATGGAGTTGATATGATGATGCTGCAAGAACGGAACTTTCAGAATGTACGGAATGTATGGAAGCACTGCAGAACTTTTTTTTTCTTTCTCTTCTTTCAGCACCCATCGCAAATCCGGTAGTTTTGACACCTTATCGGTACAGTGAGAGAACAGGCCCAAAATTGGTATCTAACAGAAAAATCGGTAGATTTAGGCAGCTCTGTTACAATAATAATAATTATTATTATTATCATTATCCCTATTATTATTATCACTATCATCATTATCATTAATATTATTATTACCATTCAGTTATTATTATTATTACAATTATTGTTATCGTTTTTATTATTTTTACAGCTGCTCTTCTTCATAGCAGTACTAGTAGGGGTAGTATCAGTATTATCGCTGTCAGTATCACCATCATTAGAACTGAAAGCATGCTCCTCACCTCTAGAGCATAAACAGCCGGCTTGTTTTTCCCCAGCTTGTAGGCCACGGTGGTCAGCAGTCCTGTCTTAGACTCCACAGCCTGCACAAACACAAGCGACGAGAGAGAACATCAAGTCAAACTCTCTCTTGGCATTATTATCTTTATTACAAATACATTTTTATTTATACAGTTATTACTATTTTTGTCATTATCATTATTATTATTGTTATTTCATTAGATCTATTTTAACTCATTCGCTACGTATTATTTTCGGCTTGTGGACAAATTTTTTTTCGGGAGGGCGAATGAGACGATGACTAGTGGGCAGTTAAAAAGTCTTTGTGGCCACAAATTCAAATAAATATCAACGTATTAGAAACCAATATTTTCAGTATGGTCTGTAGAATACATCTGTAATGTTTATTTATGTATTTTTCAACTTTGGTTCCTGTAAGAGACGATTACGCAACACAATTTTAATTCATTGAGGATAAAATTTGAAACTCAAAAATAAAAAATCTTGGTGAAACTCATAAAATATGTTTGCACCTAGTCAAATGATACATCAAAATAACCATAAATGAATATAGAACTGGGAAATATTGAAAAATTTGCAGATATTTACCTACATTCCATAATATTTGTACATATTGAACATAACATCCGATATTGTAAAAAAAGTTGTTGTTTTTTAACTGATTCCGTCCATTCGGCTGCTGACAGTGGCTCTGAGTTTTTCCGCTGCGTCCATTCGGCCGCTGTGAGCGGCTCAACGAAATCCGAAACAAAGGTGCACTTTTTAACATAGTTCCTACTTTTTAAGTTGTCGAAAGGAAGTAGAACTTGTAAACAAACCTGACCTCAATCTCTGAGCACCAAAATCAATCGAAACTTCGTGAAATTCTTGCAAAAATCGTTGTTTTGTTGTTGCGATGTAGGCTAGATCTAAGGGTAAACAACACGGAGCCTGGTATAAGAAAAAGGCTCTTCAAAGAAAGATATTCAACTAAATTTGTGAAATTCTTGCATAAATGTGTGCTAGCAGGGTGATATCGCTACAATGTTGTGTTGATTTCTATGGATTATAAGGACTTGTAGAGCTGAGAAACAGATTATAGGTCATTGTTATTGATATAAACAGATTTTTCTATTTATTCCCATCAGTTTGGTATATGACAATACCTATTAGAGAGACTTAGAGCTTCACAGTAATGCATTAAATAGATGCACCCCAGGTCTAAAACTGAGCAGGGAAAAATAACTCTGTCCAGAGCCTGAAAAAATCATGGACGGAATCAGTTAATCTTGAAAAACGATCTCAAACAGAAAAAACCCACTCTATCTTATATGGAATTATTCAGAACTGCATTTGGAATAAACCTATACATGTCTTGAGTGGCACTTTTTGGGTAATTTCATCAAAAAGTAGTGATTCTGGGGAGAAAAAAATATTTTGACAATTTAGATCTAGACCTAGATCTAGCACTCAAAAATATTGATTTCTCAATAACAGTGCATTGGCAATATGAGTCCAATCGCATCAATATTATAAAAAAGAGTCCTACATTTCTTTAGTGGGCAAAATAATGATAGATTCAGTTGTGTAAAATTACTGAGACTGGTGTCCGGGCTATAATTTTGGCATCGCGATAAAACAAAGTCGAATAAACTACGAAATCACGTTTCAAAACAGAATCTAAATTTCCGATTTTCAGTGGAAATGCTTGACCCGGAAGTCAACATTATATTATGACCTTTATTTTAACATGGATATGTGGATTGGAATAGAATCTAAGCTAAAATTGAAGATCGGTTCTCGAGCCGCCGGGGGTGGCTTAGCGTACTGACGGCACTTTAGCCGCGCCGCCCCCCACGGCTCGGCGTAGCGAATGAGTCAAATCAATATTATAATTATAAAATGCAGTATCATTATTATTGTGACTGAGATAAAGTCTTGTTATTATCAGTCGGTACGACTTCAAATATGTCATCATCTCAGAACTATAATGTCCAAAGTGGACTCACTCTTTACTTCAGTACACTTTGGACAAAATAGTTCCGAGGCCACGTTGTGGCAAGCTTTAGTTTTAGTTTTAGCAAAAGTTTTACGGCACTTGGAACACAATAAGGTCATATAAGTGCTAAAGATTAGAAGTGTTGCAAGAGAGTAACAAACACAAAAAAGGAGAAGGAGAGAGAAGGACGATAGTTTTTTTACAGGAAAGAAGAAGAAATCACAACAGAGCACCCGCCAACCACCCACTTGGCAAGCTCTGACACTGTACAGAACACACTGGACTTACGGAGAGCCCTGTGTTGTAGAGCAGGAAGCAGCCGGTGCCGTACGTGTTCTTGGCCTCTCCGACCCGGAAGCACGACTGGCCGACCAGGGCCGCCTGCTGGTCACCCAAGATCTGGTGGAAGAAAAAGTGAAAGGGGATAGAAAGTGACTAAGAGAATGAATGTCTCGTATTCACGTTTTTTGTTTGTTTGTTGAGGGTTGTATTGTTTTGGGGCTGGGGGGTTGGAGGGGGAGGGGTTTGGAGGGGGGGTTTGAGAATTTTTTTTTTATTTGAAGTTTTGTGATAACTCCTAAAGAACTGTGAAAAGTAAACTGAGAATAGAAAGTAACAAAGAGAATGAATCTCTCATTTTGATGGGGGAGCGGGGGGGAGGGGTTTGTGTGAGTTTGTTTTTTTAATTTGAAGTAGCCTATTGTGACTACTCAAGACCAATTGAGAAAAAGTAAACAAAATAGAAAGTGGCAAATACAATACATCTTTTGTTTTTATTTTTTGTTTTGTTTTGTATTTCTAATTTGAAAAATTCTGTTTACTCAAGATATGTGTAGAAAAAGTAAGCAGAAGATAGAAAATGATAAACATTTTCTTGTTTTGAATTTTAAATTTAATTTAAAGGTTTTTGATCACTCAAGACCTGTGGGAAAGATAACTCGATAAGAGGAAATTTAAAAAATTAAAGCTACCAACGAGAGTGAGCGGGTTGCTGGGGGTCCTTTGCTTCTTTTGTTTCCCTTTCTTGTTTCTGTCTGAAAGTCTTTGTTTTTTCTTGCACCAAAAGACCGTGTTTATGTGCTTCTCTTTACTTAAACTCAAATTAAATGAAACTCTCATCTGATGAAGATGATGATGATAATGATGACAATGACAATTTCGATGACGATGAAGATGATGATGATGATGGTGATGATAAGGATGATGATGATATGATGATGATGATGATGATAGCGATGACAATGGCAATGATGATGACGACGACGATGATGTTGATTGATGAAGATGAGGATGATCACCAAAAAAACTGAAACTGAAAAAATGTCAGCAACTCACCCCAGAAATTATGACATCTTTCAGAGCAGTGCAAGCCATTTTCCCGTAGATCTCCGACGAGCTGCGAACTTTGGGAAGAACAGTTTTTGGAATGTTAAAAAACCTGCAAGTAAAAATAAACAGAACACCGTCAGTGTCACCCAAAAAAATTAATAACTACAATAGTGTTATTTTAACTCACCTTGTAAAACATAGTCAAACAGAGCCACGGGGGGGGGGGGGGGCTCTCGTGGCCTAGAGGTTAAGGTGTTTGCCTCTCATTCAATAGGTCCCGTGTTTGAATCCGGACAGCCACAGAAATTTTTGTTCTCTAAAACTGTCTCCTTTTACACCCTCTCCAGCTCTCTAGCATAAGTACTGTCGTCTGCTTTCGCCTCCACTTTCTACCCTCACCCCCTCACCTCCTTTGCCCCCTCCTCTGGGCTCCTGACTCTTTCTACAGCCTTTTTATTACTACTCCCTGGCTTATTCTTACTGCTGTCTTTCAGCCACACCCCTGATCTTATAGTAGGAAAGATCTACATTAGCCTTCTCGGACAAGGGCGACAAATGTCGGAGGTCTCGTGCGCAAGTTGCGCATATTAAAGATCCCTTAGTGGTTGTTCAAAATCGATAAGAGAAGGCTTTGGCCAACACCTGAGCAAAGTTTTTTAATTTCCTACCAAATGAAAATGTTTGATGTGTCCCGCGTGCTCATATCTGTCCCCATAGATTTATGCGAATTTAGATAGCCAAATTATGCCAAAAAAAAGCAAAATCATGCAAAAATTATGCAAGTTACCGTAACACCATTCGCAACATGTTTTGCACTTTTTCAACACGAATTTTCATGATTTTCATGTTTTATGTACAGAAAAATTTAAAACAGAACATATCAGTATCAGTGATTTGTTGTGTATTTGGAAAGTAAACAATACACATCCGTAAGAAAAAAAAAAACAACCAAAAAATATAATCTTTGTAACTTTCAGCTGTAGATCTAGATCTATAGAGGAAAGAAAAATGTAAAAAAGAAAAAAAAAAAGGACATCTGGACCTCTGATGCTGGCACATTACTAAAACCAGGGACACCTGTCAAACATGAAACATCTGCAGACATGAGAATGAACAACAACTTTTGATGGATTGAAAAATTAAACGGCGCAAGGAACAAAATCCCAACCAATTCAATTTAAACCAAGATCTTCTAACAAGGGAAATAACCAACTTTTCACTTAAATGAGACTTATTACTGTGATTATTTCCCTTTAGTCAAATGGCGAGGCGTTAATTAATTGTTTTGTGAAAAATTATACAAATGTTGCAAAATTACCCGAAAAAACAATCGCATATTCCTACGGGGACAGTCATATAACCTTAAGCAGTTGCTAGCACTGTAAAACACTTACAAAAAAAAAGAGCAACAACAATTTCTGCAAGGTCATATCATATAAGTGCAGAAGATTAGAAGTGTTACAAGAGGATAACAAACACCAAAAATAAAGGAGAAGAGATAAGCAGAATGGTAGATGTCTGAAAGGAAAGGAGCAAACCTGCCAATCACCTGCATCCAAAAATTACATTTGTTTCTTCCTACATGTTTTCAATAGTGACTGCTTCATTTGATTTCAATTCCTTTCAAGAAATTCTCCAACAGTCTCATAAGATCCACATTTCAGTACCTTCTAGTTTATTTTCATGATCTTAAGTAATTGTCCAGCTTAAATATCTGTATAACAGGGTCAACTACACATAGTTTTAAAAACTCTGTATTTTCGTCATCTTTGAAATTTCTATAGCCAAAACTATCTAAGAAGACCACCCATTGTAAAAAAAAAGGCCGTCTTAGACAAGTGACTGTCTTACACAGTGTTATTATCATGTAAATAAATGCGGGGGGTGCGGAATAGGAAGTGGTCTCTTGTACTGGTAATTGTCTTATGCAGGTGGCCATTTGTACAGGTGATTGTCTTATACAGGTGGCTGTTTGTACAGGTCATTGTCTTATACAGGTAGTCGTTTGTGCAGGTGATTGTCTTATACAGGTGGCTGTTTGTACAGGTGATTGTCTTATCTTAAACATACAGTTGGTCGTTTGTACAGGTGATCGTCTTATACAGGTAGTCGTTTGTGCAGGTGAGTGTCTTACACAGGTGGTTGTTTGTACAGGTCATTGTCTTATCTTATACATACAGGTGGCCGTTAGAGCAAATTTGACAGTATCAATCTTTTTCCAAACTGGATACGTATAAGAAAAAGCTTATCGGGCAACATCACTCACGAACACAAGTGTTCATCCCAGTCGAGGGTGGTCAGGTTCAACAGCATTGTCCGACTAGCGTTGGTCACGTCAGTAATATGTTGACCACCTTGGGTGGCGCCGGTCAAATTCTGGGGAGAAAACACACATGGGGATATCTCAAAGAGCACAACATGCAGTGTAAAGGGAAGGTGCTACTGAAATTTCCATCTGTTTGGATTCTAGATATGTCTTGTGTTATCACTGTATGTTCGTAGGAAATGGTTAGATATTTGAATGTCATGAAATATCATTCATCGACAACTGAAAGGCATATTGTGTAACAGTTACCTCAAAATTTAGGACACTGAAGAAATCCTAAGGTTTTTTCACTTTTCAAAAAATGTCTTTGTTATTTAGTGAGATCATTAACTACTACAATACAAAACCTGTGTCCACAGGACAATTGTATATTTTATTTAGTTTCGTTTTAGCTGCTTATTTTGTGTGCTGCATTAGCAAAAAAGTGAAATTTTTAAGGAGGAGGGTTATAAAAAAATTACCCCCAAAAACTAAAAAGACTATGCTTATATGATGTTGACAAAATGATGCAAGACATCACGCAAAATTTGAACCCTATTGGTAAAACACTTTGGAAGCTTTAGTATTTTAGTAATAAAATCTTACAAAATAAGACAGTTTACGTAACCCATAAAAATATTGTGAAAGAAAAGCAATCTTCACATAATATTCCTCTCGGTTGCCCAGGTATGATGGTTCTAGTCATTCAAACCCCTGTCTATTACCCTCAATTACATTGAAGACGGTCATTAAAGCAAACGTTGCGCATGTGACAAATTAAAAAGGAACCCAAGTTTTGTGGTACCTTCCCTAACTGAACACAAGACAAGAAAGCAATCACATGAGTAACAGTTTTGACCTCCTCTCAAAGAGGTTATATATATAAGACTTGAGCTCGCAGCAGTGATGTCACACGTGTCAGACATGGGGGCCTTCTTACCCTGATCGGCATGGCAGGCATGCCCCCCACTTACATGAACAATCTGAGCCCCCCCCCCCCTCACTCCCCACAATCTTTCGAATATTAAACACCACCCTGCCCTCACATTTCAGAGCAACCTTATAGATTTCCTCCTAAGACCACCGAGACGCCTCCACGTGAGTCTCGAAAAGTACTCATGCGTCTGTTGAACTGCGCTTGTCTTGCCCCTGAGGTTCAGTATCCCAGAGTTGGCACATGCAGCCACAGTCACATGATTTTTGAGTCCACTAAACCTATCCAAGACCATTCTTTGATGAACTGTTTATTTTAGTAAAAATTTTACGGCACTTACAACACAATAAGGTCATATAAGCGCCGAAGAATAGAACTGTTACAAGAGAGTAACCTACATAAAAAAGGACAGATAAGGACAATAGAGGCTTGATAGTGAAGAAGAAGCAAACCACACCAGAGCACCCGCCAACCACCTACTCCGGGAATTGTGCAGGGGAGGAGAAGAAGAGGAAGGCAAAGGAAGAGGTGGACCGATAACATTGCGGAGTGGACAGAGAAATCCTTCGCCTAAACTCTGGCGTGCACCAATAAAAAATGAAAAGTTGAGGCACCTGACGAGGCTCTGTGTCATGCAGCACACCTACGATCCTTGTGGATTATGGGATCAACAACAACAGACCACAGAAAAAAACAACAGGAACAATAACAACGGACAATAACCACAACATCCTCATTAACCCACACAATGCTTTATGTTTTAATAAGAGTTTCACAGAATGTGGTTCCATTGGAAAGAACGAGCAGACCACACCAGGGCACCCACCAACCATCCACAACCCACACAAGCTAGGAGTCGACTGTACCAAACATGCAGCTACCTTCATCCACAGTACAACAACAACAACAACAATCACAACTACAACAACTACAACATCAACAACAACAGCAGCAACAACTGCAACATCTCAACTCACCCACACAAGCCAGGTGTCGACTGTACCAAACATGCAGCTACCTTCATCCACAATACAACAACAACAACAATCACAACTACAACAACAACAACAACAGCAGAAACAACCGCAACATCTCGACTCACCCACACAAGCCAGGAGTCGACGGTACCGAACATACAGCGACCTTCATCCACCGCACGCCGCACCTCAATAGAGTTGTCCGCCAGCCACCGGAACTTCAAAGCACTGAAGTAGGTCGCTAATGGCAGACCGCACAGAGGCTGTGTGCAAGAGGCAGAAAAGTCAGAAAAAAACAAAAGAAATGAAAAAAAAGAGGATTTTTTTCCTCCTCAAAAAGATATTTTTCAGGATTTTTTTCCACACACACGAAAAACGAAGACTTTCCTCCTTGTTATAAAGAAATTTATTTGAGAACTTAATTCTTCCATGCCTATCCACAATATAATTACCATTGTATTATCTCCTTTGACTCCACCTGTCTGATCCCGCCAGTGAGGGTTACTCTTTGACCCAACATGTGACAATCACTTTTGGCTTTTTGATCGAACCTGTGAAGGTCACTCTTTGACCGCACCCTCTGACCCTTTGACCCTACCTGTGAGGATTACCCTCTGACTCTTTGACCCCACCTGTGGGGATTACCCTCTGACCCTTTGACCCCACCAGTGAAGATTACCCTCTGACCCTTTGACCCCACCTGTGAGGATTACCCTTTGACCCTTTGACCCCACCTGTACAGTCACCCTCCTCTCCATGCCCGTGACTCTTTGACCCAACCTACCCTGAGCGCGTCCTTGTCTCGACCGGGCGTCTTCTTAATGAGCTGTTCCACTGTGGCTGCAGTCCTCAGATCTAACCACACTGGGGAAAAGATGGAGAGAAGGACCGGTAAAAGTGAAGTATGACCAAAGCAAAACTGCCAGTAAGCTGACAAATGCATTTTTTTAAAATTCATGCCAATTTCGAGAAAAAGAGGTTTTCTGTCAGCGTAACCAGAGAAAAATTGAGTTCTTCTGAAATTTGAATTCAAATTTATTTAAAAATTAGTCACAGTTTCACTTTCATTTTTTCACACAAGTAGGTTAACTGATCAAGCTTTTGATATAGTAAATAAAAAATGTTGGAACCATACTGAAAAAAGGGCATTGTCAGCTTACAGCAGAAAAGTGAACATACCTCAATATTGGATTTGAAAAATTGAAACAAAACTCAGCTGCAATGAGGATACAAATTAAATAATAGACCAATTTTTACTATTCCAATGGCTAGAAGCTTGAAAAAAAAAATTACTAGCGATAGTGTTGCAACCATGGAGGAAATTACAAAAAAATGTACGTATTTGGCCAAGTAAATATGAAGCACATGGACACAATAAATTATGTCATTTAGTATTGGGAAAGAGTAAGACTGGCGGACAGAAACGACGGGAAGTGAAGAAATAGCATCTGCTAGTAACGCCCACACAGACAGAAACAACAGAGGGGAAAGTAAAGAAGAACAACTTACTAGTGACGCCCTCCAACAAGCATCCAATTCAAAAGGTTCCAAAAATAGTTTTAATTTTAGTAAAGGTTTTACGGCGCTCGCAACTGCATAAGGTCATATGAGCGCCAAGAGGTGGATGTCAACAGAGAAGTTCTTACAGGGAATCATGCTTACTCTGCTCACCTCTCTAGCTTCAACAGCACAAAGTCTGTTTCGAATAGCAGGTCACAAGAGTGTGACATGTACATACAAAAGAAATAGAGGAAAAATAACGATAGTAAGGATTAGGAAAGAAAAGGCAGGCGTTTCGTGTTGCAGTTCAGGCATTTATGAGCATGACATTGATGAATCAGCCCATTTACAATTTGCAATTCTACTGTGCATAAGAACATATTAATGTCCCCCCTTTGGGAATGGCCTAAAGACACTTCAGTCAGTAGCATCGCCCCGTGGGGTATTCCAAAAATAACTTCCACTCACCAATAGCATTATATAAAGGTTTCCCAGTGTTTTTGTCCCACACAATGGTTGTCTCTCGTTGATTTGTGATTCCAATGGCTGAAAATGCAAGCAAAAGTTTGACCATCGGCATAAGAGAAAAGCCATAAGTAAAAATACATTCACATTATAGTCACTTGAACTTGGTGAGACAGAAAAGCTAAACTTTGAGAAAGCAAAGGCAATTGCCCAACATCTCAAAACGGCTCATTTGCTCCGTAGTAACTCCGTCAAAAATCACACTTTTTAAAAAGGCATAAAGCATGGTCTTACACTAAGCAATCTAGCAGAGTCTTTAGTTTAAGTAAGGTGTTACGGCACTTGCAACTGCATAAGGTCATATGAGCGCGAAGAGGTGGATGTCAATAAAGAAGTCCAAAAGGGGAATCAGGATTACTCTGCTCTAGTCTTAACATCACACAAAGCTCACTTCGACTATCAAGGCAACCCAGAAATAGCAGTTCACAAGAGAGTGACAAACATACAAAAGAAGTTGAGGAAAAATTATGATAGTAAGGATGAGGAAAGTAAAGGCAGCAGTTCCCCCTGTGTTGTTCCTGCCCAGTATGAGCATGACATTGATAAATCAGTTCATTTACAATTCTACTGTGCATAAGAACATATTAATATCCCCTCTTTCGGAATGGCCTATATACAACTTCACTCAGTAGCACTGCCCTGGTATTCTTGAATTGCCACCCATTATATCATAACCTGAATTCACCGACAACAATTTAAATAATACTGTCCCCAGTGTGGACCGCCCCTTTCAACATTACAGTTATTGGTATTTTTTTACTTTCCCTCCCGTCTCACACTCAGCTACCAGTTGTCTATTGTCTATTAAATATTGATGCGCTGAAAACGAATATCAACTTCATTTCCGTCACAAATTAATAGTTTATGAAATATTTGATTGTTTTTAACCGAGATATACATGCCTTGGACCAATCGGGGGGTTCCAGGGGGGCCTGCCCCACTGGGGTAAAAGAAAATCTGGGGGGTTACAGGGGGGCATGCCACCCTGTTTTTAACCATAATTTGATATTTTACAGTTAGATTTGAAATTGTCTTGAAAATAATTGATTTGCGACAGTTTTAGTGGCTTTATGTGTGATCTGCAGCAAACAGTACAGCAGTTAAACCCCTGAAACAGTGCATCTGTGTGCAGGAGTGAAAGTAAAAATTTACCCAGTTATTTAAGAGGCAGGATAGCCAAATGTTGCGCCCCTGCTCCCAAACGACTGAGTCAAATGTGTCAACAAAAGCCCAGAACAGAAAGCTCCTCCATCAGCCTAAGTCCAAGACTGTCTCTTTGGGTATTCGAGCCAGGGTCTCCTGTGTCAAAGCCCTGCATGTCAAGCCTGATATAGGTGTATGCTAACAGTTTGTTTGTTTCTTTGTTTGAGTAAAGTGAAGCATTATAATAACCCTCATTTCAGCTAGGAAAAGAAGTAGGACCTAACAGTATCGCCCTCCAACCACCTGACCAGACAGAAAAAACAAAGGGAAAGAAAAGTTCAGTGGAACCTAACAGTAGTACCCTCCAACCGCTTGCGCGTAAACAGCGCAGGCATCAAGATTATAACAAAGCACAAGTACTTAACAGTCACCTTTCACATCTGAGGGTTGGAACCCTAGACCTTGTAGGTTGTCCACCGCTTTCTCGATGCACACCTTGACGGAATTGAGAATCTCCATAGGATCTTCTTCCACCCATCTGAAAGTCAGCAAACAATTCCTACTATTGAAAACATGTCATGAGAGCATTGTTCCTAATATGAAATTTTTAATTAGAAATGTTACCCACAAAATTTCAGTAACAAATGTTCAGCCAAAAATGTCACAAAAGCAGTTATCATAAGGAATTTACCGGGCCCAGTTTTTGTATTATAATCACTTTGAACATGTTGGTCTTAATGACTTGAAGGAAGTATTGATGCCGATGTGAAAGTCTGATTTTGTCAAACCAACTTTTAAAACTAAAACTGCAAGACTAAATTATTACGATGCAGGACCATCTGAGATACTTTCATTCCCCAACTTTGACCTGGAAGTCCATCAATTCCTATCACATTCATTGAGCAAACAAAAGAAAAAGATCTGATCCCGTTATCTAACATAACATCTATTGGCCTATTAACAGGCTGTTGGCTATGATTTTCCTCCAAAGGAACCCATCACGACCTACAAAACCTAAAATAGTAGATTTCAGAGGATTTTAATCAGTTTGTGAAAACATTATTAAAACTTTTGCCCCTCCATTAAGAAAATCTAACCTCCCTCAAATGTATCAAACTATAATAGAGACGAGTAAAATTTTTGCAGTGCGCACCGTGTATAACAGTGTGAGAAAGGAGCAAGCCAAGATGGCAAACAGAGAGAACTCACCCTTCTTTGGGGAACTTCTGTGTGATCTCGACTTGATGATATGTGACTACTTCCGATGTGTCTGCATTGAATACCTGACATGAGCAAAAATGTTTGTACAGGTGAACAATGAGACAATTCAGTATATATATAATAATCTTTTTTTTTTCTTCATTAACAAGGAAAACATTTATATCAAGAATTCACTTATCGAAACAATGACATGAAGACAAAATTGTCTTAATTAAGAACTATTATCATCATTTTGAGAAAATCAAGACGAAAAATTTTGGTCCCCGGTAAATTATGGTATTATGGCTTTTTCCTGTGCTTTTCGGTACTTTTCTCCAGACTGACACAAATACACACTGTTTTAATCTCTGAGTTTCTCATGCTTGCTTCTTTTATCCCCGCCACAGTTCCCTTCTTTTCTTTCCATTAAATTCTCAACAGATACAGATTACTTTCTTGATAAAGTATCATGGCTACTTGCACAACTGGGGGCTGTTGAATTTAAGTCTGACCCACTAAGGCATTTTCTTTTTTCAACTTCGGAATACTTTTGTACGGGAGCCCAACAAAACATGCTACCTCTAGAGAAGCAAGAAACATCTTAAGGTCAATCCAGCAGGAAAGCAAACCCGCAAGCTCATATGACCTTAAACAGTTGCAAGCGGTGTAAAACACTTACAACAAAAAAAAACGAAAGCAAAAGTAAAAGTAGACATGAAAAGGATTGGTAAGTAGGAAGAACTACCATCTGTGGTTTATCTGTTAGGTTGGTCACCACACAAAGAAAATTATGACAGAACATCAATTCCCGTGTAAGTATACTTTTTTTAAAAATTGAAAATCCTTCTCAGCGCGGGATGGGCCTGATGGGCAGAGTCAAAGCGGACAGCCTTCTAAATGATCTAACTGTGCCAATATGGGGGCACAATATAAAATTTAGCATTTGCTGGAAGAGCACACACAAGGAAATAGAATGGAGAGAAGCTGACTTTACCAGGGTGCAGATTTTATAATAAACTTTTGTAGTCAGATGCTACTCTAGAAAACTGGAGTAGAGACCTGACACAAGACATAAAAGGAAAGATCATTTTTCAAAATTACACCAGTGAAGCCTTCATGCTACTGAAGTCAAAGCAAAAATACTCCAGAAACTACAGAAAGACAGCTGTCAAATAATTTCAGTAAGAAATTATTAGAATGCAAGATAAATCAGGGCAACTCTTTATAAATTTCTTTCCCTTAATGTAACGATAGAGGTTCTATACAAAAAAAAATTGTAGAACTTTCAAATGATCATATGAAGACAATATATTATTATGTTGTATTCCAATTTAAATTTAATAGAAATATTACATTAAATTTCTTACTCTTACTTGGAGAAAATTAATTAAAAAATTGGAAATGCCAATTTGCAACGCCGCATTGCCATTAGCCAGTGCTACATAAATCGCTGTGTTGCGATTAGCGCCAGTGCTAAATAAAACGCTGTGTCTCCGTGTGTTAAATATAGGGATCTACCTTTCGTTGTTGGGAGTTTTGATGGCCGAATTGACAGGATGTCTGCGTATGAAGTCAAACCATCATTTTATGAGCGTGGTTCGAATCCCGGTCCCGGAAGATTTGTTGGGTTTTTTAAAATCTTCTTCTCTTCCCGACTGACCAACAATTTTTTCCCACAATTATAATAACTTCTTGCTTTGTAGTTTTTTATGTAGGCCTAGTGATGAAGCATGCACATTCTGGTTTTGTCCCCAAGACCAAGAAGAGCTTTTTTACCTATAAAGTATACTTTTCTTTTTTCCAATAATTAGATCTAGGCCTGGTTAAAGTTCAATAGCTCTGCTTACCGAGCTGCACTGTTTTGTTATAGTTTTATCCAAGCGTCTTTTGACTTACTTGCTCAAACTCAAAAAATTATGATTATGAGAGATGAATAGACTAGATCTAGATTGAGAAGCGCAACAATGTCAGTTAATTGTTAGATCTAAGATCTAGATCTATCGAATATTGATCAGAATAAGACAACGTCATAAAAAAAGGAGTCAAATCCTAGAAAGTTTATCAAGAAACTGAGAAAGCTTCCACAATTAAGGCAGAACTAGAAGAGTCAAGATTCTATATTATTTTATGTAGAAACGATGGCAAGATCTAGATCTAGATTTTAGATCTATTTCTAGCACTGGTGTCTCAAAAAGCATGGGAGCTATCCAGAACGCAGCGTTTCAAATAGCGAGCTATGAGAATCAGAAACCAGCGTTGCAAATAGCGCCTGCCTTAAAAATTAGCAGCAAGAAAAAAGTGTAATCTCCTGCAAAAAAAAAGAGGAAAAAATACAATCACCAACGGCTCTCATAGGAGCAAAAGATAGGCCACCACCATGAAACTTGATAAGGTTGATCTCTAGCTAGATTAGATCATGTAAAAGTGATTCTTTTTTAAAAAACGTATTTTTTTACTACACCCTTCTCATGTTCATGTTTAATATACAGTCGAACCTGTGTAAGACGGAATCGCAAGGGAACAGGAAAAAAATTCCGTCTTAGACAGGGGAATTTATGGGGGGTGGGGGTGCGGGGGGGTCAAAGGCCCAGCCGGTGGGATCAAGGATCGCTTGTCCGATCGGCAAGCAATGGTCAAAACTTCACACCTCTCTGCTGCTATCCTGTCTGATAGTGACATGCGTCAGTCTTACTTATCCAATTACCACCAGTGCTTGCCTTTCATAGGACCACTGTTTGACCTATTAAAAACAGAAACGTTTGAAGACATCCTTTGCTCCCACCCACAAATGCCACCCCTCACTGCCATCATTGTAACAACGATTCGAAGAACTCTTTTCTCAGCAGGCCGTACGATCAGGGAGGCAGGCATTGGTCAATCTAATTTCACACCTCTGGCTTCTGGCTACCCAGGAAAGTTTGCGTAGTGGCTGGCTACTCGGAGCACTCTCACGGGCAGTTGTGAGATATCAATATCACACCTACACTACACTGACCATCTGTAGCGCTCAGTGCTCACATGATGGGTTAACATAGGGTAACTTCTACTCTACCCCCATTGCACCCCTACTCCCCTTCCTCGCCCAGCGGCATGGCCATGGCGTTAAGTTTAGAGCCGGCGGAATCAAACTTGCGAGTTTTGTTTCAAATCAGGGCTGAGCGGGCAAAGCATTTTCCGTCTTAGACAGGTGAAACCCTCGGAAGGGAGCGGATTTTTCTTTGTTTCCGCATTGGACAGGTTTCAGTTTTATACAGGTAATTAAAGAGGAATATATCAAGGGGGGAGCGGGGAAATTCCGTAAAGACAGGTTTCCGTTTTACACAGGTTTCCGTTAAGGCAGGTTCTACTGTACTTCTTTTCTAAGTAGAATTTTGCATGCTGAACACGAATAAATTATGGCCTTAATTTTTGCCACAAATCAATAGTTATTAAGTTTTTGATGTTTGAAAATAGTAAATTTAACAATATGGGGGGTTTCAGGGGGGCATGTCCCCCACATGCGATTAAAAGTAGAAATGATGCAAACTATTTTTAGGTAAGGCGCCCATCTTGTTTGACGTCAGACCAGGATACCCCTCCGATCACGTGACTACATCTAAGTATAGACAACCGCATAGCACCAAAGATGGAAGTGTCTATGTATATTATGCTTAATCTACACAAATTTCTCGGAATTTCTGATAGCTGATTTGATAGCGCGTCTGCATTTGATGTCGAGCAATGACTTTTGGAGCGGTTCGATTCCGGTCCCGGACAGTTTTTTTTTTTCTCTTTTCCTCCTCCCAACTGACCAACAGTTCCATAAATTATAGGCCTAATTTGTAGAGTTGCTTTGACTTTGAAGTTGTTGTTTATTTTTAAAAATGTATTAGTGATTAAAAATGCAGGAGGGGGGAGGGTGGTAGATCTAAATTTAGATATCTAGATCTAGATCTAGATATTATCTAGTCCTCCTGCGTCTTTACGGCAATTTTCGTGCGGTCTTCCATCATGTCCAGGTAGGCCTAATAGATCTAGATCTAGAAAATCCGAAATGTTACCGAAAACACGTCGTTCCATGTTTGGGTATCCCAGGAAGTGATGACATCACATTACTAAAATAAGCAGCCAATCAGAAAGATGCGTCATTTCTAAGTTTAACGGCATGTATGTCCCCCTGGCCTAAAGAGAATTTGGGGGTGGTTACAGGGGGGCATGCCCCCCTGCATTTCACAATGATTTGTTGTTTTGGCAATTAGGATTGATATTGAAAACAATTGATTTGCAAGAGTTTTAGAGGCCGTAAGTGTGTACTACAGCAAAAACTATAGCAGTTTAGCTCTCAAATCAATGCATCTATGAGTGGGTGCATGTAAGTAAAAATTTACCCAAAAAAAGAATAGCATAGCAGCACAGAATAAAGAGCATCATCATTTTCGAAGAAAACGTTAGAACGGGACAAGAAATAATTAGTCGTACAAGGAACCGTGTGCTGCTTGTCCCCTGATCTACTGCTCCAACAAGCTTGGGTTTAGCAGCAGCCATTGTGGAGTTTTGTTTTCTGACAATGCTTGATAGACTCTTGGGTGTGTGATTGTGCAGCTCTGCTTGATCTTGATGTTTGGCCAAAGCTCGATTTGTAGGGCAGCGACCGGTCAAAAGTTGATGGTGAGAGTTGCTTCCCTTCCAATGCGCTGTTAATTTTAGAAAACGGAAAAATCCACTATAGCTGGATCGGGCCGATCACCCGACTCGATCGCCTGAATCTGAAAACACGTTTGTTGTTGGGCGATCGGCCCGATCGGCCGATCCAATCCGTAGTGGGCACCCCGTATAATCCCCCCGCGCTCAATGATTATGGATTATACTTGCATGTGATACTAGAGCGCTGCAAATAGGCCTACACTTACGCCTTAGCCTTAACCTTCTCCTTCATTTTGGCCGGCACTATTTCTCCGAACGTTCGGGAAAATAAAGCTAGGCACTATTTCTCCGAACGTTCGGGAAAATAAAGCTGGGCACTATTTCTCCGAATACTCTGAAATCACATCCTTTCACGCAAATTTCGGATATTATATAGATCTATGATTAAAGTATATGCCTATCAAAGATTGTTCGTATGCAATATGGTTCAATCGGTCCAAAAAATGTCCGCAGTAAATATTTATACAAAGAAATGCTACAGTTCCAAACCGTTTTTTGCTACAGATATGACGTGCTGCCTATGAAGGGTGCTGCTCTTAAACTTAATGTGATTGTGTTGTGTTTACTCGTGTGCTGTCTAGATCTAGATCTAGATCTACGGAGGGTTATTGATAACGACACATAGAACTAGCATCTGCGTTTGTCGCGGCGTCGACCAATCAATCGTGGCTCGATTTTTTGGTCCCCGAATCGGGAAATAAAAGTCAAATTTTAAAAAAGAAAAAAAGAAAGAAAACGAACCTCTTTACCTTTGAAAGAAAGTTCACCTAGCTTCACTTCGTCTCTTTCTCACTTGTTGTCACCACGTTGATTTGTTGAATACGTTACAGTTACTTTTATTTTTCCCTTTTTGTGGTGTTTTATTTTGTTAGTGTGTATTTTTTTCTTTCTTGTTATTGTTCTGATGTGTTGTTTTTCTATCAATTTTTTTTGTTAGGGAAAAAAAGGGGGGGGGGGGTGTTGTATAGTGTAACGTCATTTAATTTGATGTTCCAACCTTCATTAGATTCTAAACATGTATATATATATATATATATATATATATATATTTAAATGTTTTATGTTAGAGCGTACATTCCACCAAAACCGATTACATGTACTGACACTGGCAGGCCCCTTAATGTGTGTGATTTCATAATTTACATGTAATATCCTGTACTTTGTTTTAAAATTACGCACATTTAGGGTTAAAACAGCCAATCTTCTTCGGACAGGTGGACTCACGCCCTTATTTGTTAATTTTTGTGGTTGTTTATGGGCTGTTCTAATTTTGATTTCATTTGGTTGTGAAACCTTTCTACTTTCTTTTTCACGTTTTCACACTCATCTAAAAATCTGTAGACTAGCTCTTGAAAATTGAAACAGATATAGACCTAAAAATTTGCTCCTGTGTGTGTGTGTGTGTGTGTGTGTATGTGTGTGTGTGTGTGTGTGTGTGTGTGTGTGTGTGAATGCATGTGCGTGTGTCTGTGTGTGGTAGTATTAAGTGTTTAAGTGGAGAGTGAGGAGCGTGTGTGTGTTTGTTTGTCGGGCTTTATTTCAGCCATTATTCAGTAACAATTCAAAGTATACAAAAAGAGAAACACAGGATCCATTCACTCCAGGGCTCATGAGTCGTTCCTCTCTTTCAATTTCACTAAATCATTGAATTCCCGTGTTCTCTCCCGCGGCTCATCCCCGTCAGCATGATTTTCACATCCCACCCCCTCCCTCCAGGCACACACAAAGAAAATCTCACTCATTCCCTTGCACCGTGCGAACCATGGACAATAATATTAGTATTAGCAAAACACTGCCTTAGCCACATTCCTTTCGTTCGTGAGCTGTGGACCAGGCCAGGGGGAGTCGGTGTCGTCGCCTTGTAGTTGCTGTCGCCTGTGGATACACTCGTACATTCTTCCTTTCACCTGCTCTGTCACTCACACTGTCCCTCCATCCACAGCTCAGCTCGTCATAATATGTTCAAAAGTTGCCCACTGATCATGTTTAGTTAGTGTATATATAAGTTTGTGTGTTGGTGGTGGGTGTGTGGTGGGTGTAACTGAACGAGCCGTAACTGAAAGTTGTCTGAAGGCGGGCTTGCCATGCGGTGTTCCTTCCCAGACCAGAGGCAGAATGAAAGTTAGCGCCGGACTCTCGCAATTAAATAGGCAAAAAATCACGAGACCGGAAGCTGGAAACCGTTCAGAGAAATAAAGATCGCCACTATTTCTCCGAACGTTCGGAGAAATATTCACTTCGTTTCTGGCCATCTTGTGGATTCTATCCAAATGTTTTCATGAAAGCAAAAGAGCGAAGTACATATCGATATCAGCTGAGACCTGAGAAATCCATGGAAAGAAAAGCACTTGGAAGGCTTCATAATACAAGACCAAGAACTACCCATCTCATCATTGTCACGGACTCCCAGAGCATCTTGCGTAGGGTTGAGAAAGGGCTGCTTCAGAGTGAATGGATGAACCCCATACAACACTCATCACTTAGAGCCATCACGTGGATATTCTGTCCTGGGCACTCTGGAGTGAAAGGCAATGAGGAGACTGATAGGCTGGCAGGCAAGTGCCGTGGTTGATGGTGAGGTGAAATTTGACAAAGGAGAAGTGTTGAAGACCCTGGAGAAAAAGTTGCGGGAAGAAGAAGCAGGGAGACAGCAGAACACCACGCAATCATTAGGATGCGGGAAATGGGGATAGAGAGGGGAGAAGGAAAAAAGGAACGATTATCTGGAAAGGAAAGACGTCGCCATAATGAGACAGCCACCGGAACAAACAGAATGGATACCTTGCGGGCTTTGGTGCTGGGGGGGAACCCAAGACACATGTCTTGGGAGAAACTGAGCACTATGTATGGACTTGTCCGGTGTGCAATGACGTTGTTGCCCAGGACTGGTAATACAGGTGGAAAGAAAAGAAATCTAACTCAAACGAGGAAATAAAGAAAGAAGCTTGGGCGTCGTACGTGCTGCTCACTGAGAACTTAAAATTAAGAATTTAGCTACGAATCTTATATTATTATGCGCAAAGCCGAAATCATAGGCTAACATTTTACTTCTTTTTTTCAGTTTCTATGAATATGGCTGCATATTGATCTAGATCTATATATGTTCTCATATTTTTGTCGACATTCAAATGCTAATGTTAAAACAAGTGTGGGAATATACATACATAATGTATATGGTAACGTTGTTAAAATATTGAAATAACAATATTATTATATGTAGCCCTAGGCCTAATTGTACCCCCACCCGACCTCTCTAGGCTGCTCCTGAAAAAAAATCTTTTGAGCTCAGAGAAGGCTGTGGGTGAAATGTGGTGTCCAGGTTACTTACTTCAAGGGCTTTGGTCATCTTAAATTTTTGTTCTCACTGGAAAGATAGACGGCAAACGGGGCTGAGGCAGACTCAGATGAAAATTTATCATGAAAACTTGAATTTTAACAGGCGGCATATTAGATCTATGGGTGACGAGGATCGAATTAAAATTACACCCCAATAATTTTAATATGGCATTTTTTTTCTTTTTGGAGCATATATGGCGGAGAATCAATGATCTCGAATGGAGAACCATCGCCTTATTATACTTTCAGATGTGACACTTTATGATGATCTAACTGGAAGAATACTTTAAAAGCCGGTGCTACTCGCCCGATGTCGGGTGGCTAGCAGGCTACTCGCCCGATGTCGGGTGGCTAGCAGGCTACTCGCCCGATGTCGGGTGGCTAGCAGGCTACTCGCCCGATCTAGGGTGGCTAGCAGGCTACTCGCCCGATCTAGGGTGGCTAGCGTCAGGCTAGTCGACCGAATTCGGTC